TTTTTTAAGCAGTTGGAAGTTTTTAAGAAACTTACTACGCTTTCTATTATGGTTGACTAAAGTTTGTTTGCTTCTTTTCAATAGAAATATATGACCGTTCTATTATTTAATAAGAAAAAAGTTTGACAGCAGGCAGTAAAATATCAGAAGTCTAAACTCCTTGGACTTTACTATCCACACAAAGGAAATAATAGCAATTTTTTTCACCATTTTCTTAAATGGTTCGTACTTAGCTTTACACATTAAAATAAGAAAAATAAGCATGGTCGTTAAAGTTATACTTGGAAGCCCTGAATAAGCAAACTAAGGAAATTCCAAGCAAAAGTTTAAACTTTTCGGCCCTGTTTATCACACAAAGTGAACTAGTGTATCTCATACAACTAATTGTTCGGATCCAACTTTTTCCGATATAACTTAATTAAGGTCAAAAACATTTTACATTTACTACGAGTCACTCTGTGTGTGTGTTTTCAGCGCCATCTACATATAATCCAATCAAATATACACAAAATCCAAATTATTTCCCACAAAGTCCACATTCGTATGTATATGCTTACCCGTTCATCGTTATAAAATTTAAATTATTGTTTGAATAACTTACATTAATTAGCACCTACCACATTGGGTGTAGTACTCGTAACCAAGTTGTATGTTTAATAACATTTGCATTGGAGTGGAATGGCGATTCTCTTTTGTCAAGTTATTTTCTCTTCGTACGAATATCGTACGTGACATAATGATAAGTTTCATTAAAATTTCAAGCTTTTTAATTAAATTTTCTAGAAAATTTTCCAGAATGCATATTTGGAGCCCATTCAATTATACTGGTTTACAGCAAAACTGTTCTATGGATGTTCTAGAATTTCTCGGTGATTCCGAAAATAGAGTTAATTTTTTTCTATCGATAAGTTTTCGAGATATGTATTTGCAATTTACCGTTATTCAGCTTTAAAAAAAAAAGAAATCCACTTAATCACGTGTAATTTAAGAACCAATTGAATAATCGTTATACGAAATTAGGCAAATTTCTTCTGAGAAAATAATTAACAAAGAAAAAAAAAAAAATTTTTAAAGTTTGAATTTTTTTTTATTATCTTTTTTAACTATTCTCAAACGTGTTAGCGGCATATATCGTATCGCTATCGCAACCTTGAGACATTAATAACACATGTCAGCTACTTGCGATAGCGATCCGAATATTGTCGCTAACCGGTTTGAGAAAAGGTATACATACTGGAGTTATTAATTAATTTTTCATAAACTATCAGGCCTATCGTGATGTATACACGGTTTATGGAGGATTTTATTGGCTTCCAACTTCATTCTCTACACATCTCTCCACAAATCGTTCTCATTTACTTAGAGAATTTTGGGGTACGGGACCATTTTTACTGTAACTTCCTGCAAGTTCGTGTAAAAACCTGTAAGTTCATGGAGTAGATACTGGATCAGAGCCATTATTTAACTAGAATTGTATGGGTTATAAAACTTCACGCCCGAAAATGCTCCTATGCCACTTTTTGGAAATCAATTTCAATAATAATTTTTGAAAATTGTAACTGTAACTGAAAGCGATTAAATCGCTTTCGAAAATTAATTTCAATTTGTCCCAGTTGCATTTCATTTTTTATTTTTTCTGAAAGTGAGTATTTTATAAGGAATATTAAAAACTAATGCTTCTCAACTCATTTAATAGTTTCCAAATTAGCGCGAAGTAAGGAATATTGACTTTCATGTATAATATGTGTAGATTTAAACCAGGTTTTAAGTAAAAGAGGGCTAGTAGAGTCATCGAAATTTAAATGCAGGGGAATGGAGATGGGGTTAAAAACTCGGTCCCAATTTTCAAATTATTAGCAGCAGTTGTGAACATTAAAGTGTCCAAAATAATGATTAGGACATGAAGGCGTATACATCTTGTGCCTGAAATAATAAACAAATTCTGAATTGCTTAAACGTAAGTTGTTGTTTCTCTGCCATGGAGTAAGCCTTTGCTTGGGTTAAACTTCATCAAATGTTTCAAAAACATATTCCTACAAAAATATAATTAAAGAAAAAGCAAGCACCCAACATTTTTTTTTAAGCAAAGTCAGGTGCTTTAAGAACCTAGGGTACTAATTAGAATTATGCACAGCAAGTGGCAGGTCTTTTTTTTACGCTCCTAACCATTGATATGGTCACTTTAATATTCACACCAGCTGCTAATTTATTAAGAATTGTAGGTGAATTTTAAATTGTTTGTACTTTTCGCCCCTTTTAGCGACAAACTCGGAATTTATCCTGCTTTTAATTTTTATGTTCAAGCTTTCAAATTTTAAATTGTATAGAAATCCCTTTGGTTTTGCTACATATATGTTGTTTAAAAATAAAATCACCACACCAGAATCAAGGTCTAATTAATTTTTCCAAGAAATAGTCAACCAAAAACGAAAAAAATTCAATTCAAATTCCCACATTTTTGTATCAAGGTAGGCATTATACGATACATGTATCTATGTATGTATATAAATTTCTTTTCACACAAAACCCTCTTACAGCTCTTTCGTTTGACACCTAAAGGGTGTTTTTTAGGAGTGTGGTTTTCAAGGAGACAATACTTTTTTCGGAGCTGGTCTTTTTGACAGATGTTACATGATTTATACTCAGTTTGGTTTGCCATTTCATAATGCACTGACTTACTCCGGAACAACGGTTGCAAATCGTGCAGATTTATTACCAAAATAATGGTTCGGTTCGTGCGCCGCATTGCGGGATGCGTCCAATATTCGACATAGTCGTCATAATCGCCCAGCAGAGTCGGTAATTCGAGCAACCATGGATCGGTTTCGCACCACGTTTACTCTAGTGGATAATGCGCATTCTCAATAGAGGTGTCAAACTATCGATAGTCACACCAACGATAGTTTTGATAGTTTTCAGAAAAACTATCAATATTCACGATAGTCTCGAAAAAAACAAAACTGTCGATAGCACTATCGATAGCGCTATCGACAACGCAAAATCAGTTAGTTCTTTGTTTTCACAGGATCATAGTGAATTATACATTATCTCATAAAAGTTATATTCATTCAAAATTAAGTAACTGCTTAGCCAAAATACTTCTCTTTTTAGAAAGTTCAAAAACAAACACAAGTTATACAAACAAAACAGGATTTACGAATAACACATGTATGTATGTTGGCCTAAATGCGTGCATATTTGAATTTGACGTCGGCATCACACTAAAAAACAAAATTTTTAATTCAAATTAAAAAATTTTGGTATTAGCAACAATAGTTCGATAGTCCTACTAAACTATCGATATTTTTGATAGTATAAAAAAAAACTATCAATGAGTATTGATAGTCTAAAAAAAATGAAACTATCGATACTATCGTACGTAGTTTGACAACTCTAATTCTCAAAGATGTTGTACAGTGCGCACCGAAGACGCAATTGTTGCTGTGGAGCAGGGTATCGAAGAAGACCCGAATGGGTCCATCCGCCATCGCGCGCAACAATTGGAGCTGTGCCCAACCACTTTATGGTACATTTTGCGGAAGGATCTTGGTTTGCACGTTTACCAAATCCAACTCGTGCAAAAATTGAAGCCCTCAAGCGCGTCGCACGTTCGGTGAATGGGCCCAAAACTAGATGGCCACCGATCCCGATTTTCACAAGAAAATTTTGTTCAGCGATGAAGCTCACTATTAGTTGAATGGGTACGTTAATAAACAAAATTGTCGCATTTGGAGTAATAATAAGCCAAAAGCCATTGTTGAGACGCCATTACATACTCAAAAAGTCACTCTATGGGCAGAGGCAATCATTGGTCCATATTTCTTCAAAAATGAAGCCGGCCATAATATTACAGTCAATGGGGAACGCCATGATTAAGGACCTTTTCGTGCTTAAATTACAGGATGTTGATGTGGACGACCTTTAGTTCCAACAAGACGGCGCTACATGCTATACATCCAACGAAACAATTAATTTATTGAAGGAAACTTTAGCTGAGCGCATTATCTCGCGTCTTGGGCCTGTGGCCTCCAAGAAAATGCGATTTAACACCGCTGGACTATTTTTTGTTGGGTTATGTGAAGTCGCTTGTCTACGCAGATAAGCTCGAGACGATTGACGCCTTGGAAGAGAAAATTCTGCGCATTATTGCTGACATACGGCCCCAATTGCTGCAAAAAGTGAAATTTATTCGAGCCAGCCGCGGCGGTTACTTGCCCGAAATCATTTTTAAAACATAATGGCAAACTCTTATCTTTATAATAAAGCTAAATTCTTGGCCATAACATTAAACTACACATATGCGTTTTATTTCTTCTTGAAAACCACATGTCTAAAAAAAATACCCTTTATGTATATTTCGATACATATTTCAATTAATTTATGAAATGGATTTTTGGGGAAGGTGACAACCCTCCTTTCTACAGTTTAAGAATAAAGTATTTTCAAACCCACTTCGCTAGATACTCATCTTAAATAATTCATTTAATTTATTAAATAATTTTAACTTAACTGGTTAAACAGGTTGCAACCATCTTCACACATCTCAAAACCATTATATACGGACAAACGAAAGATCTCTTAACAATTTTTCGTTTGGCCTCATATTTTAAAATTTCATATAAATTGTCTATAACCGAATCAAATTCGACTTTTCAAACAGGACCTGTACCTACTGCCAAATCTTCACTTACAGAAATTGTTTACTTTTTGAAACGTTTATTAATGAATACATCAATACCTTTTAAATTGACCGCGCTAACGCATAAAACCTATTTCGATTTGTACATATATATATTAGTACATACGTTCAAACGCAATAGATTTCCATTTCAATTTCTCACTACATATTGATTTCGCCTAAAAATCATGTACAACACAAAGACCAATTTTGCTTTGAATTTTCCTTGCAAATTCATAGTCTAAAAATGAAATTATTATCGAATCAAATATTAGTCTTTCTTTAATAGCCAATTTAATCCCTTACCAAAAAGGTGGCAAACACTCACTTTATTGACCAAACAAAACCCTAAAGAGCGTATGTACATACTATAATAACTAACTGACACTGTATGATTGAGATATGCATATGAAGATGCAACTAAATATTTGCGCGAAGTTAACTGAAGTGACTGACCCACGACGTAAAAGCGCTTAGCACGTAAACTGCATTAGCACAAATGCATACTACGTATTCGTACCACTTGAACATTGCGAGTGAGAGACAATGCGCGTAGGTACTAGTTCGTTCGACTATTTGCCCCTTTTCGAAACCCGGTTTTCGAGTTATTCGAAAAATGGTAATTTGAAAAAAAAACCGGTTCTCCATTTTCAAATTAAGCAAAAACTTGATAAAACATATTTTATCTGCAGTAGAACAGAAGTGTTCAGAAGTCATGACAAAAATTACAATATGACGGCGGTCGTCGTGGCTGAATGCTTAGAGGTACGCTCAAGGTCATAATAATAGGTACAAAGTTAAAAATTATATTGTTTGCCACTTATGTTTATTTTTTTATTTATCTATAAAAGTTTTCACTTAAATTGTAGTTCGATCTACAACAGAAATCACATAAATAGAAGTTTCAAAACTTGTACATACACAGTTCAGAACATTAATCAAACTTCAAAAATGTTCTTAAAAGTTATAAACTTCGGGTGGGCTACACAACTTTTGATGAAAATTTTTTGAAGCTTCATTTATTTTTGTGAACTTTGTGCAAGCTTTCAAACTTTTATTTGTTTGGTTTCTGTTATCGACCAAAATATACTTTAAGCGAAAATCCTTAAAAAAAATAATAATTTTGAATTTTGTGACTATTATTTTGAGCAGGTGTCTACGTACGTACTACCACTCCATAGGACCTGAGTTCGATCCCTTGTCCGAGCAACATCAAAATTAGAAAACGTTTTTTCTAACAGCAGCCGCCCCTCGGCAGAAAATGGCAAACTTCCGAGTGTATTTCTGCCATGAAAAAGCCTGTCATAAAATCCTTTTCCCGTTCGGAGGCGTCGTAGACCTGTTGGAACAAATTGGAGGAGAAACTCGGCTAAAAACTCTTACAAGTAAAACAGAAAAGTATGAGAGAAACATTCGCAATTAATTCTGCTCAACGATCTTATGAAGACTTAGCCGTTAAAAAGTCCTTTTTCGAGAAAAACTCGAACATGTTAAATCGACCGTCTTGGACATGAGATTACATTATCCGCTGTCCCAGACCGCCTATACAAATAAAATCTACTATAGACAGGCCATTCAGCGAAAATCAATAAATATTTTGTCGTTATCAGAGACCAAGGCCATCTATTGCAGACGAAGAGCTCGAGTTTCTTTGTGAGGCTTGCGATACTTTGACAAAACTCTACTCGGGATATTGTAGCAGGTTAAACTATTCAGTCCTCTTTATATGCCCACTCACATCAGCCCATCTAACAACCCTGGCCTTTTCCTGAGCCTTCCGTTAGATGAGAATGAAGACAACACATAATCATTGAATTAGACAGAGTTTAGTAAGCTGATACAACAACAAACAATTGTGAAGGATTTCGTTCAAGTTTGCTTTTATTTTTAACTAATTTTCTGCAGTGGAAAATTTAAACCTCGGTATATTAGATTGTAAAAATCCGGTTTATTCGGTATTCGTAAAGTCAAAATTTCAAAAAAAAAACGATTAAAAATATTCAGAAAAACCGGTTGAAACCGGTTTTGAAAAATCGTGCCAATCACCCTAGTAAATAGGAACGCATGCGCGATGCTGAACCATAGTTATGCTTGGGCCGAATGCGGCATAAACGGAAAATTTAGCAAACAGGAAAACGACATATATTGCATTACAAATAGTGGTTAACGTCCAGCACAAATTATTTTCACTCTATATATGTAATTACGTAATAGGTACATACATATTCATATGTGTGTCCATAATCGGCATATATACATACTTATATTTCAATCATCTATGTTGGCAAAAAGCGTTTTTTAATTAACGTCCACATGTATTGTTATTGGTAATAAATATTAAGTGTAAGAGTAATAATAGGTAGTGGAAATGGTAATGATAATGATAATATATTGGTATTGGTAATAGTAAGGTTAATAGTGATGGGTAGAGGTAAGGGTAAGGGTATGGATTTCGGTAATGTTATTGGTTTTAGTACCGGTATTGGGATTGGTATAGTTGTTACTACTGATGTTTATATTCCCAGAGGGAAAATGGAATGTTTGATAATATACAAAGTAATCGCCCTTATAGCCGATTCATTATTAAGATAAATTCCCTATTTTCGCACTGGATTGATATGAACGTTATTGATTTGACATGGCCTTGTGTAGTACAAAAAGCAAAATATTAAAATCGTTCGTGCTTCGAAGCTAACACACACATGCTTTTTTCTTCTTATTGATGTGATAGAAATGTTAAGTATTCAGAATATAAGCACCAGCGTAGTCTATGCCTGCTTCATTGTGGAAAAATGCAGTACCCCTAATTTAATAGTGCCAGTTTCAGCAATCTAACAAAAACATGAATATCATTCGCAGCACCTAATAGTTTATTTTCCTAGTGGGACCACGATATTTAGAAGATGCTATCGTAAATTGATTTTCTAATTGAGAGGTCATTAAATCTCTCAAGGGTCTACGGTAGTAGAAGGCTTAAATTCAAATGCAATCGAGATGTGCAAATAAAGGATCATAAATGGCAAAGAAAACAGTAATAAAACAAAAACAACATCTAGGTAAAAAAAACACAGTTAAGTAACGGCTGACAAAGTAAACACATAAACAACAAATGCTAAAAATATTGGAGAGCTTGCGGCAAACACGCTTATAGGCCGGCCTCATGCGTTTTAATACATTTACATACGTATGTACATACATACTTATGTTTGTATGTATGTATGTAACTTCATAGACACAATCATATATGTACATATATGTACACAAGTATGCAGGATTTTTTGCATATTGACAGGCTGAGCACAAACAATTACAATACGTATTTTCAATGAAATTTCGATAGTAAAAATTTTTTCGCAAAATTATTTCGCGTAGTTGAATTAAATAAATACGTATGCGTAAGTATTTATGAATAAGTGGGCGCGGGATTGCATATGTCATTCATGAAACAAATTCTCGTCATAGGCGTGTACACAGGTAACGTCACGTATTTACATCATAAATATATGTAGTTATTAATGCTTTTTTGCATTCGCGCCCTTGTCCGTGAATGATTATGCGTGTGTTTAATTTTTCTGCCTAATTTATGCTGTAATGCATTTATTTTTAATCCGTTTAATCATACCGCTAATAATACTTATTTGTCACATTGCATCCATCATCAAATCATTTGCTACTCATCCAAATCTATACATTATAGATATTAAAGAAAAATGAATATGGGGGGGAGGGGGTCTTTATTAGAGCAATAGAAGCCAAAACAACAATTTTTAGAATTTTAGTCTGTCTGTATGTTTATACGCGCATCATTCGAAAACTAACGCATGAAATTGAATACAGTTTTCACCGACGTATTGCTAGTGGTCTAACTTAATATATAGGAGGAAAAAAATTACAGAGTTGCCACCTACCTAAAAATTTCAGTTTAAGTAAATTGGTAAGATAAAGTAAATATTGCAATATGGCTGTCACAAAAATTAGGTTTAAAAACGGCTTTTAGCTGAAAATATTTTTGTGGAGGTTGCCATATGTTTGCAAATTTTAGTTTAATTTAATTAATAAGATAAATTAAGTATTTCAATATGGTTATCAATCTGAACAGGTTTAGGAAAGTTTACTGCAGAAAATATTTTTTAGGAGGGTTGCCACCTGTTTGAAAATTTTATTTAATTAAATTGAGCAAATAATGAAATATTATAATACGGGTATCATACAACACAAAAATACTTTTAAGGCGCAGTGAAGCACGCCGGGTATTTGCTTGCCTTCAATAAAATTTGGTGTTTCTATGCGGAATATGCGCGCAGGTGTTAAGTGAATATACGCGAAATTTAAAGATAAACAATTATGAAAAAATCGTCAGTTGTGGTGTTTGCTCAGCTAAATATTCTATTGCTGCTAGGTATCTGGGTGTAGGTGACTGTTACCGGAGTTCGGGCAATCTCTTCACACTACATTAGTCAAATTTCTAAGCTTTCAACTGATGAAAGAATAATAACGCGATCTCTCCCGGGGAATGCAACAAATTCCTTAATATCCAAAAAAATTAAAAAAGAAAATACTCGTTGAAAACCGCTATTTTCGTTACATTTAAATTGAACTTTTGCTTAACAAAATTATTAAAAAAATTTAATACTTAAATGCAGAAATCAAAATATTAACTTAAAATCGTCACGATCTTTCTAGAGGATGATTATTTATTTTTAAGCAGCGTTGTAATATTCTGTTTCCGGTCAACGGTGAGCGTTCGCTGTGCAATTTAGAAAATGGAGGGGGACTGGGAAATGTTATTTGTTATGATCTCTATCGAATGTGACTAATTTTTTAAGTTTTCTTCAAAATTTTGTTAAATTGGTTTATGGCCGCCTAAATCGTTCAATCGAGCTTTTTATAGCGCTTACTTTCCATTTTTTCTGGCATATTTTTGCCATCCATGATTATGACCGTCCAAAAGGAAGCTATTTAATTTCAGCGACGAGTGATATCCGTTAAAATTCTCGAATACTCTACTAGGCCTTTGAGTTGGTACAGTTAGAGCTTTTGGGATGTTAGTGTAGTTGTATTATCTATTTATACTTGATGTAGGTCAATGTCAGTGAGCCCATTTGGTTTATAGATGCACATCACGTCAACCACGGGCAGTCAAATCAGGTGGAATCGGGCCCTTCTGCTACGAATTTTGTGTGAGCAGAGTGTCTAACTCTTTTAAGTAATAGGTGTTTTCTTATAAATTTTAATGAAGTCCTGCTTCTTTAGAGAAAAAGAACTGAGTCTACGGAACTTCTGTGATGTCTTTTTATATTTTAATAACACAAAACCACTTTTTAATATTTGCATAATCATAAAAGCCCAAATTTTATTAACTAGCTTAGCAATTTTTCTTAATTTCGCTTAAACCTTTTACAAAAATTGTTTTATGTAATATTTTTCAACCCTATCGGTTCACATAGAAGAAATATTCAGGTTTCGATTCTATTTGGCTTTTAGGATTTTCAAAAAATGATTACAAACCGTAGGTAGGCAGCACTTAACCAAAACCTACATATGTAATGGCGTTTTCGTTTCTACCGAAAAATGTTGCCTCTCAGTGCCCTCTACGCACAAATACTAAGGAGAGAGCAATGAAAAGGCAACATTTTTCGGTAGAAAATAAAACGCCACAAGATGTATCAAAATGTTAGCCGATTACGTATTATCGATGTGCAAAATAAAAGAAAGAATTACAATAAAAACAAAACGCAAATAACATTTAGCTGTCAAGCCGGTTGCAATGCATCGAAGTACCGTTTAGTAATTTTTAATGAGTAAAGCAAAATTGCGTCTTGCAAATATTGGTTTTTGTTTATATCAGTTCTTGTTTATTTCATCAATAGATTGCAGCTAAAAACAAAGATTAATTTTATTTACCAAAATACCCATACTTACTTACCTGATGTATGTATGTTTGTAAATATATGTACATATATACTAGATTTCGCCGGTCTTGCTTAGTTCAACTACATACGTATGAATGCTTGGGAATAAACAAAATATTCCATTGAGATGTGTCACTGAACTGTACAAGGTCTGGAGATAATAAAGTATAAAATTTATTTTAACACTGTTAATAATTCCTTAGGTAATAATTATATTATTAGAAAGTTATTTGAAAAGAAAGTTGAATGATTGCAATATAAAAAAAAATTATTTCGGATATTCGATACAAATGATGCAATAGGTGCGAACATATACATACATACAAACAAGTCAAACACTTTGCTAATTACGCATCCTTTGTTAAGACTGGAACAAGTACACATATGTGCCGATTAACAAAACTTATACACGAGAAAAATTAGGCCCAGGGTACTTGTTGGCTCCGGAAAGTAGCCCTAATAAAACTTAGGTTACGACACCTCAACTACATTGGCTACCTTTACTGAAGCCTGCTTCCAAGTTTGTAGGCTTTGGCACGATTTTTCGTAATCAATCCTATGACACTGCGTCCCCACATCCAACAGCCATCCAGGCTGTTCTGAGGGTGCAGCAACTAAAAGTGGTCTTCACGTAGCCCTGCTCGTTTAGATTGTCTGCAGCTTGCTAAGGTGTCACACGGAAACAGTGCTAACCTTCTGACCTATAATTAAGTAACTGACCCTTCTTTGAAGTGTTTATTTTACGCTCAGAAAGTCTCTTTTCAGAGGTGCGTCATCGTCTATTAGGAACATAGTCTAAGTTGACCATCTCAACTTTCAGATTCCCAGATTACCTTGCGCGTCGTTTGGATCGAACACTCTTTCATACATTGCAATGGTATCGGGATTTGGCTCAACACCATTCGTGCGATCGCGGGCGCAATTCATTCAAACGATATCGTCGGGCATCGAGTGCTTCTTTGAGTTCGCCAAGTAGTGGAGAGAGCAGAGAGGTTTTGGCTGTTGTTTTTAATACATAAGTGTCTTTCACACATTTCATGTGGGAAAAAGAGGACATCCGGCACCTACACTTATCCAGAAAGGGCTGTTTAAACCTAAAGTTGAGTATATCGTTAGAAAGCACACGAACGTAATACGATTCTGTTCAGTGGTTACAAGTGCATTCTACCAATTCGCCGGACCTGGGTTTTATCCCTGGTCTGAGCAACATCTAAATTAGATAAGGTATTTTCTAACAGCGGTCGCCCCTCGGCAGCCAATGGAAAAGCTTTTCATAAAATTAATTTGCCGTTCGGAGTCGGCGTTAAACTGTAGGCTCCTCCACTTGTGTAGCAACATCAATACGCACACCACAAATTGGAGGAGAAGCCAGGCCAAACACTTAGCAAAACAAAAGTGTAAGCGCCAAAATATTTTTTGTGTTATTATATTTCATTATCCTTGATGTGACAACTTAAACGTATCATCAGTACAGCACAAAGTCACAAAAAATTGCTTTTATACCGACAAGTCGATTAATGGTTTTCGAAGAAGTAAATTTTAAAAGCGTCGCGGCCGCTTTCTAAACATACCTTGTGTGTCATTTATCATTTACAATTTTTGATAATTCATCACCTAACATTTGGCCTTGTAAATGCCAAATACATTCATACATATACAAATAATGCATGCGCTCTGAGCGGTAGCTTGTCTACAAATGTACCTTCTACAAAATTCTGAATACTAAATAATTTCTTTATATTAATAACAAAAATT